TTATAGACATCAGCCTAGGAAAAGAATTTATGAAGAAGACCCCCTAGGCAAACACAGCAGCAACAAAAATAAATAAATGGGACCTTATCAAATTAAAAAAGCTTCTGCACAGCCAGGGAAATATCATTAGAGTGAATACACCAACCTACAGAATGGGAGAAATATTCGCATGCTATACATTCAATAAAGGGTTGATAAAAGGAATCTATATAGACCTTAAGAAAATTAAAAGAAAATCAACAAAAACCCATTAAAAAGTGGAAAAGGACATGAGCAGAAACTTTTCAAAGAAGACAGAATAAAGGCCAGAATAAAGTCCAGAAAACATATTTTAAAAAGTGTGGGCCGGGCGGTGGCTCACGCCTGTAATCCTAGCACTCTGGAGGCCGAAGTGGGCAGATTGCTTGAGTCAGGAGTTTGAAACCAACCTAACGACAGACCCCGTCTCTACTAAAAATAGAAAGAAATTAATTGGCCAACTAAAAGTATATATACAAAAACTTAGCCAGGCATGGTGGCACATGCCTGTGGTCCCAGCTACTCGGGAGGCTGAGGCAGGAGGATCGCTTGAGCCCAGGAGATTGAGGTTGCTATGAGCTAGGGTGACGCCACGGCATTCACTCTAGCCTGGGCAACAGAGTGAGACTCTGTCTCAAAAAAAAAAAATAAATAAAGTGTGATTGCTGGATTAAATGGTAGTTCTACTTTTAATCCCTTGAGGTATCTGCACATGACTTTCTTTAGAGGTTGCACTAGTTTGTAGTCCCACCAGCAGTGTACGACTGTTTCTATCTCTCCCCATCCATGCCGGCATTGGTTGTTTTGGGACTTTCTGATAAAAGCTATTCCCACTGGAGTGACATGATATCTCACTGTGGTTTTGATTTTCATTTTCCTGATGATTAGAGATGTTGAGCATTTTTTCCTGTTGGTTGGCTGCTAGAGAGGAACATAGGACACTCAGCGTGATAAAAAGGTGACAGGGTGATACATATGCAAAGAATTGAGAATGCGAGGAGGGTAGAGTGCACGCTGCTTCTCTGTGAATTCACAATGCTGCGTTTAGGGCAAACAAGCCATATATAGGTAGTAACCTGCGCCTTTCCCTTCTTTCCATGGGAGCGGTGAGCTGGCAGGCTGCCTCTAGTCTGCCATTTCTTTTTTCCCTCCCAGAGGCTGTGCTTGATGATTGATGCTTTTGTGATATTTGTTCACATCATCTAAATTGGATAATTTCTTCATGATGTCCACTTATAATCTTTTGAAGTCTGCAGGATCTGTAGTGATGTCCCTTGTTCAATTTCTAATAGCAGTAATTTCCCTGGGGTAGAATTCTCATCCTTCTTCTGTGGTCTTGCCTCATTGCCTAAAGGGAGCAATGAGTTGGGTTAGTGCTCTAGGCTTGAAGGGAAAGCTGATCTGTCTTATCTTATGGATCTTTATTTTAAATATTCCTCCATCAGTCCTTGCCCATGTAAATTGGCACATAACCTCCCTTGTCTGGGCCTCACTTTCCTTGTTTGGAGCATGCTTTTTTTTGAGAAAGAGTTTTACTCTGTCACCCTGGATAGAGTGTAGTTGCATCATCATAGTTCACTATAACCTCAAACTCCTAGACTCAACCAATTCTCCTTTCTTAGTCTCCTGAATAGCTGGGACTATAGGTGCATGCCAAGATGCCCGGCTAATTTTTCTATTCTTTTTTTTTTTTGAGACAGAGTCTCACTTGTTGCCCAGGCTAGAGTGAGTGCCATGGCATCAGCCTGGCTCACAGCAACCTCAATCTCCTGGGCTCAGTGATCCTACTGCCTCAGCCTCCCGAGTAGCTGGGACTACAGGCATGCGCCACCATGCCCGGCTAATTTTTTGTATATATATATTTAGTTGGTCAATTAATTTCTTTCTATTTTTGGTGGAGACGGGGTCTCGCTCAGGCTGATTTCAAACTCCTGACCTTGAGCAATCCGCCCGCCTCAGCCTCCCAAAGTGCTAGGATTACAGGCATGAGCCACCGTGCCCAGCCTAATTTTTCTATTTTTAATAGAGATGGGGTCTTTCTCTTGCTCAGGCTGGTGTTGAACTCCTGACCTCAAGCAATCCTCTTGCCTTGGCCTCCCAGACTGCTAGGATTACAGGTGTGATCCACTGCACCTGGCCTGGAGCATGTCATTATAAGCCACACTTCTCATAGTGGTTGTGGAGCCTGATGTGCCTGGGACATGGTGGGGCTCAATCATAGCTGGTTTCCAGACATGAAGGTTTGGGGACATGAAAGGATTCTGGTGTTAGATTCTTCAGTCAAGGCCAACAATTGATATGTCCATGAAAGAAGCCCCATCTGTCCCTATTACTTAGAAATGATACTTACAATGTTTTATAATATATACTTATGTTCTCATGCACAGCAAGAACAATGATAGCTCCTGAAGTCGGTAGGGCACCATAAGAAAGAGGAGAAAGCAAAGCTAGGTGGCCACCAGTGTCTGGGACCATCGAGGGATTATAACAAGTAAGTTTCCAGCTCAGTGAGGGACAGAAGAAGATGCCCAGGGTCATCACAGACAGGGAGGGAGTCATGGCTCTGTGGTGAGGTTGGAGCTATGGTTTCCCTTCTCTCGAATTTTGCAGTGGGGGCTGGAATACCTGCACTCCCTGCCCTGGGCCCACGGTCACCACTGAGCTATCCGTGTGAGCGTGGGGCAGGTTCACTGCAGCGTCGTCAGACATGGTGACAGTGTGAGCGTGAGGCTCCGCTGGACCTGACACTGCCTGTACGACCCTGAGCAGACACTAGCTCTGGACAGCAGATGCCTCATGGCAACAGCAGATGGAATGGCCCCCACCCCTTTCAGCTCTGAGCTCCAAGGAAAGCCAGGAGAGAAACTTTCTATGGAAGATAAAGTGTGCGGGAGGTGAGCAGTCACACGAAAAGGGGCAAGAAGGAGGAAACCCTCATGCTGACGAAAAGTACCACAATCAACAATCTACATTTACGAAAAAGACACCTGCACTCAAATGTTTATAGCAGCACAATTCATAATTGTAAGGCTGTGGAAACAGCCCAAGTGCCCATCAATCCAAGAATGGATTAATAAAATGTGGTATATGTATACCATGGAGTACTATTCAGCTCTAAGAAACAATGGTGATATAGCTCATCTTATATTTTTCTGGTTACAGCTGGAACCCATACTACTAAGTGAAGTATCCCAAGAATGGAAAAACAAGCACCACATATACTCACCAGCAAACTGGTATTAAATGAGCAGCACCTAAGTGGACACATAGGTACTACAGTAATAGGGTATTGGGCAGGGGGGAGGCGGCGGGGGGGGGCAGGTATATACATACATAATGAGTGAGATGGGCACCATCTGGGGGATGGTCATGCTGGAAACTCAGACTTGTGGGAGGAGGGGGGAAAAGGGCATTTATTGAAACCTTAAAATTTGCACCCCCATAATATGCCAAAATAAAAAAAAACAATCTACAGCCTCATAAACGGAGGTCACCATATCCAAAGAAATAGAATCCTGGGAGTATGTGAGACCCATCTTAAAGTAAGCAAATTTATATATCAAAAAAATACAAGAGGAAATTGAATTTTTGACCCAAGAATATAGATTATACTATAGCTGAATGGGCATGATAGAAATGAATTAGAAATCAGAGAGGTGAGAAATCCAACTGAATGAACATGATCAAAACATTCATTCCTTTAAAGACAAGGCACAGCTTATGAGCCAATAATGAAACTGGAAGATAATATTGAGCCAGTTTTCCTGCATAAGAGATAGTGAGAACTCAAAAGGAAAATTAAGGTCTAGGAAGGAGCAGAATGTGGAAGGACAAAGTCACATCTACCTTAGGATGATGTCCTACAAAAGCTCAAGAGATGCATAGTTATTAAGGGCAACGTTGAAGGGTCAGGTGTGGACAAATAGCTAAGCACGAAGCAGCCCAGGGCAAGGCTGGGCAGGTGGGATCCGTGTCGCACACGTTGAACCCGCCACTGCAGCCTTCAGCTTCATGGGGGGTGAGGAGGGGTGGGGTGATGAGAGGGAGAGGAGGGGTGGGTAGATCCTTAGCCATCAGAGGTAGTTCTAAGTATTATATATTAATATTATTCTTTCATTAATGTAAAATAATATTTTTAAGTATTCTAATAGATTGAGATTAAAAGGAAGGCATTTCCAGAGCCATAAGTTCAACTATTTTATTGTTTTCATATTCAGAGAAAGCAATTCTACATCATGCAGTTCAGTTAGAGGAATATTGAACTGAAAATGGAGAAAGTGAGGGAAAATGGGGTGAAAACTATTGGAAAATTACACATACGCATATGCACAGCCACACACATGCACAGGCATACATATATGAGTACTCAGAGTTCAGCTATTGTGTGATTAGAAGCTGTGCTCTGTAAATGAGAAGGATGAATGAATCTTTGTTCAAAATATATAATTGAATGAATACTTAAAAATGTCTCTAGTTCTTCTAAATTATCCTTTTATTACCATGTATGTGTAAGAGTAATTTACTTACTTAAAAATTTAAGTCCCACACCCCCCCCAATCACCCAGCAATGAGGCACAATAGATCCATGTAAAATAAAATGACAAAAAAGTAATATAATATAAAATTATTTTAGTAATAAAAGTTGATATGTTATGTTTTAAATAATCTATAAACAAGGAAGAAATAGCACCAATAAAGGTTCAATCATCTACTCACATATCCTTGAAATACACACAGCATAAACTGACACATGCTTCAGGAATGCATCAGACATAAACTATTAAGTGTTTACTAGACAAGAAAGGAATTATCTCTCAATCTTTCCCAATTGCTATCTTACACATTATTTTTCCTTTCTATAGTGCAATTATTTAATAGCTAACACTAAAATATATTATCTTTTAAACCTTTAAATACTACATGAAATAAACAAAACCCTCAATCCTTCATGGGATCTATATTTGAAGTTATAAAGTAAGAAGAGACAATAAAATTGCAATATATCAAAAATGTAGGATGTCAAAGCAAAAAAGAAACATACATAATCAATATCAGGAATGAAAGAGGGGACTGTACTATGTTTCTCTACATAATGTTCTCTTCTTTTGAACTTTATGTAATGAGATAACCATGTACACATTCTTTTTATAATCTTTCATTTACTCCCCATCATGTTTGAAAACTGAACTATGTTATGGTTTGTCATTTTCATTTATGCATTTCACTACCTCATAACTAATACACCATTGGGTACATTTGCCACATTGTCTTTGGTTTTTTCGGTAGATGGATTGTTGTATTTTATAGTTTTTGGCTCATAGGAACAGCACCCCATCATGTTTGTGAAGGCATCCTGGTATATATGTACACACTTTCTCTGCGGCATATACTTAAGGGTCATAGCTGTGTCTCTCCTCTGTTTAACCAGATAATTCTGATCTTCTCCCGTAATTGACCAAAGCAATCCACACTCCTACGAGTAACGTACTACAATTCTACATCTGCATGTTCTCAACAAAAAATGATGTTGCAGTTTACTTCTTTTCCCTCTGTTGTGCTATGATTTTGGCATCACAATTTTACTGAAACTGCACCATAACAATGAGGCAGAAATTGTCACGACCTGCAGATAAAAGGAAACATGGCTGCACATCGGGACTCTCACCAAGTTAGGTAGCATCTGGCTCATACTCACTTGTGAATGACAGTTCTGCCCACAACTTCCCAGCTCAGCATTACATGATGTCATATTGGCACCTTGAAGTTGGTCATGAAGGGACCAAAGTAATCAGCAAACGCTATAAATCAGGGACTTTTTTCAATTTTTTTAAATCAGAGAGCTGGTTTAACAACACACCACGAAGCTGACTGTTCAAGCACCAGTGTGTAGATTCCAAGTGATGATATTTCCATCAAAGTACACAGTTAGCACTTGATGAAGAGTGAAGGGAATGTATAGTCCACACAGGTGCTAGGGTGCATCATTTTGGATGTATCTTTTGAAGCCGGGGATCTAATTTTTGCCCATTTATTCAGTGATCTAATCCAAATCCATGTTCGGAGACAAAGACAGAAGGAATCAATCGCACATACCAGGGAAGTGGTACTTAGAAATAAAGGAAAAAGTGTCACAGGACAGGGGAGCAGAGCGTGAGGTACAAAGAGATGTGACTCAAACCTGCCCTGGGGATGAGCCCTCAGGTCACAGGGAGACGACGGAGGGAGGGACAGTCAGGGAGTCAGCAGGGGCGGGAGGGCAGCACACAGAGCGGTGGAGGCAGAGTCCTCTCCAGACACCTCCTGCCCCGACCCCGTCTCCTCCCCGCGGCGTTCTCAGCAGACAGCTCCCCAACTCTGCCCCAGACTTTCTTCCAGAACCTCCTGGGGTCATCAGATTTGTTTCCAAGGCCCTCCCACTCTGGATGGTGCGTTGTTGTCTCTGGAGTTTACCTCCCGGCTGCATCCTGGTGTCTTCTCCGGCTGTGCCAATCCTCAAACAGCAGAATCCCGAGGGCCACCAGGATCAAGCCAGCCAGGCCCATGCGGACGAGATTCTCCACTGTGTAATCCTGGGGGTGCGGGGCTGGGGATTGTGGACAAAGAGATCAGAGAGGCCAGAGCAGAGCAAAGTCACACAGGATCCCTGGAGGTTCCCCGGGGACACCGTCCTGCCCTGGACAGGCCTGACCCTCTGTGCCCAGCCCATGACTGAGAGGGTGTCCTCACTCACCACTCGTGGGGTCTGACTTGTTTTGTGAGGGGCTGATGGTCTCAGCTGCTCCTGAGCATCAAGTAAAGAGGGGTGGGGTGAGGAGTTGTGGGGCCCTGAGCCAACATTGCCTGGGTGATAGAGTCTTATGCTGCTATCTACTTCTCATGCCAGAACTCTCTGTAGCCCCTCAATGAACCCTTTCTCTGCTGCGTCAGAGCCCCCCTGGTCTCCTCATTGGACCCGCCCAGTCCCCAAGTGTTATTTGCATTCAGGTCCCTTTTCTGAGTCGCTGTGGAGCACATTTGGCTGTGCCACAAGACTCAGGAGCAATTTCTCCTCAGCAGGACTAGTTGAGCCCTTGAATGTTCTTTGTTAGTTTTGAGACACAGGACCACGTGAGTTAATCCATCTGTGGGGGAGTCTCCACCCATCAGAAGCTGAGCACCCAGGCTCTGTGGATGCGGCATTGGTCCTCGGGGACTCCTGAATGTCAGGGGCACAAAGGGGGGAACGTCTGGGCTACTTCCCCTTCACCCCACCTCAGCCGGGTCACCTGGGGTCTCATCACCCACTGAAGCTCTTTTCAAATAATTCCTCCAATAGTCGCAAACATCTACAATGGGATGAATATGTGTGTGTGTATTTGTTATATATATGCATATATTTTTGCATATATACATATAAACACACACATACATAACAGACATGCATACACACATATACATATTTACACATACATATATGCAGATACATTTTCCAAATGGTAGTGTCAAGTCAGTGGATCATTAAGCATGTTTCCGAATGCCAAGAGTGTGGATATCATTGAATACTCCAAGAACAAACCTGTAGGCATGCAGCAGTGAAAAGCGTTAGTTGGATGGATGACAACTTTAAGCTGCAGATTGTGTGTGTTATGGTTTGGATGTTTGCGTCACTTCCAAAATCCATGTTTAAACTCAATCCCCAGGGCCCCAGTATTAGGAGGTGGGGCCTTGGGAGGTGACCGTGTCGTGAGGGCCGTGCCCTGGTGCGTGCATTAGTGCTCCTGTCAAAGGGCTGGAGGGAACCAGCGAGGCCGCCTTCTCGCCTTTGTGTCCCTTCTGCCACGAGAGGACACAGAATTCTCCCTGCCAAAGGACACAGCACTCAAAGTGCCGTCCTGCAAGCAGACACCAGGCCCTCACCAGACACCGATCCTGCTGGTGTCTTAACCTTGGGCGACCTCGTCTCTAGAACTGTGAGAGATAAGTCTCTATTGTTTATCAGCCATCCCTGTTTCAAGTATTTTGCTATAGCAGCATGAACAGAATAAGACTACACGTGTGTGTGTGTGTGTGTGTGTGTGTGTGTGTATGTACATACATATAAAAATGTACTAAATAGCTACACAAAACTGTAAATATGTAAATGTAGATGTGTATGTACGCATATATACATATATGTATAGGGAGACAGAGACAGGGGGAGACATAGACATTAACAGGTGAGAAGGAGGCAGGTCTATCCTGGACAGTGTCCCAGCGAAGGTCCCACATGGAGATGACACTTAAGCTGGTCCCTAGGGAGCAGCAGGCCCCAGAGAGGAGCCACATGAAGACCCATCTCTCTTCCTGAGCCTCCCGCGTTCACTGTCTCTCCCTCCCTCTCTGTATCTCTGGTCTAACTGTCTCACGCACTCTGCATCCCTGCACTCCCCTCACCCCATCGTCCCACCAGGGGCTCAGCTGGGGACCCGTCTAGGCTCTGAGCCACTGGGCAAGGACGGGCCTTTCTCACCTGAGACCAGGAGCTCCAGGGGGTCGCTGGACTCTGACCACACCTGGGGGGCGTTCCTGTGATAGCCATAGCATCTGAAGGTCCAGCTGTGGCTGGGGGGCACGTGAGCCACAGGGAACAGGGCCTTAAACTGCCCACGGGGGTGTTCATGTGACTCAATATGCCAGGAGAGCTTGTATTCTGTCCCCTGAGTCAGAATGAACACGTTGAATCTCAGCTGTGAGTCACACTGGAGGGTCACCTTCCCTCCTGGGGTCACGACAGGGCTCGGCACGGCCGAGAGGGTGGGTTTGCCATAGAATCCTAGGAGAGAAAGAGGCAGCTGTGTTCAATGGGGCTCACACCTTCCCCATCACCCCCAGGGCTGGCTGTGACAGGGAGACACCCTGAGAGCAGACCCCTTCCTGAGGGCAGAGGCTGGGGCTGAGACCCTCGAGTGTCCTCTCACCTGTCACCACCAGCTCCAGGGCAACACTGGGCTCTGACCACCCAGCAGGGCTGTCACAGTAACAGTAATATCGCCCTGCATAGAGCTCTGTCATGGATGGGATGAAAAATTTAGCCTTGCTCCCAGGCTCCAGTGGTTTCCTTCTGATCCAGTGTGCTGAGACTCCCTCTTTATACAGATAGTACTCCTCAGCGTCCAGGGTCCCCTGACACCAGACAGTCACTGGCCTCCAGTAGGTTATCACAGAGTCTGGCTCAGCCCAGAGAGTGGGTTTGGGGAGGGTCCCTGGAAGGAAATCACAGGCTTGGTCCCAAGATGTCCCCACCCCTCAGATCCCAGCTCTCAGCCCAGGACCCCCAGATGTCCCCGTCAGTAAGCCCAGAACTGCTGTTCCCCATCCCCAGCTGCCCAGGGCTGTCCCCTTGTCCCCAGTTAGGATGAGGGACCTGGGCCAGCTGGGGACAGACTCACCTGCCTGCACACGGGTCCTGTTGCCCAGACTCAGCCCTGGAAGAGAGTTCCCTGTGAGAGATTTGTCCCCTGAAGGCTGAGCACGTCCTGTCCTCCCCGGAAGCCTCCTGAGCCCCTGGGGTCTCCTGCTAGAGCAGGGCCTGGCTGTGGGGTGGGGTCCCTCCCAGAGGCAGAGGCAGAGCAGGGCCGTGAGGGTCGGGGTCATGGCGTGTCCTCCCACTGGTCCGGCTGGCAGGTGGATGAGACCACGGGGCATGCAGGACAGACAGACACTCAGGGTGTGGCCACTCGGAGGCTGGGTCCTTCCTGTCATGGGGTTGTCCTACCAGCAGCCCCAGAGGAAGAGGAACTGCTCTCATCCGCAGGAGCCTGGTTCTCATTTCCCCAGGGCTGGGGTAGGTAAGCCCCTGGTTCTGTGGAGACATTTTAGGTAGCAGTGGGGTCTCTGCTGACCCCCCACCACTGTCTACTTCATCTGTCCTCATCTCACAGAAGTTTAGGATTTAGGAGCAAATAGACCCAGTGCCTTCTACCTTGGCCCCTCCCAGGTGAGGGTGATGAGCTCCACTCCTCCCTCTTGGAGCCTCCCCACGGGGCCTCCTTCCCCCCCTCAGCCCGTCCTTCAGCCCAGCGCTGCGGGTCCTCCCCACGGCAGTCGTCTCCCCACCCTGGGGACGCTCCAGGGAAGCTGCAGGTTCGAGCCCACGGCGGACTCGGACCAGCAGAGACACACGAGCGTCTGACGGCGCAGTTCTCGTTGAGCTGCCTTGTGGCCGTGAGCACAAAGGGGACATACAGGGCAGTATGGGAAGAAAAGTGACTCCTCCCCTGGCCGTGGACTGTGGGTTTTCATTGTACCAAACAGTTCCCCTTATGGACTTCCCAGTTCTTTTTAGCTGCAGCCTCCACCCACATCTTCCTGGATACAACCCTTGACTCATTTCTGCCTCCTTGGTGTCCTTGTTTCCTTTCTTAGAACTGCTCTCCTCATCCTGTGATCCTTCCTTCGAGCTTTAAGGACAGTGAGCAGGTTAGCACTATGATTTTCAGGGGAACGTTGACCTTCATTTAAATATCCATCTATTGTCACTGCCATGGGACCTTGGGCATCAACATCCTCCCCTGGGCGCCCACATGCCCAGACGCACACATGTGTGAGCACTCAGGGTCCAGCCACAGAGTAATTAGAGCCCGTCTTCCCTAAAGGAAGAGGATGGATGAATCCTTGTTCAAAGATACATACTCTTGCCAATCCTATTTAACAGAGTACTGGGCAGAGCAATTAGGCAAGAAAAAGATGTAAAAAACATTCAAATTGGAGAAGCAGATGTGATATTGTCTCTGCTTGCTGCCAACATGCTTTTATATATAGAAACCCTAAAGACTCAACCAAAAAACTGTTAAAACTGACAAACAAATTTAGTAAAGTTATAGGATACAAAATTAACATAGAAAAATCAGTAGCGTTTCTACACACCAACAACAAACTATCCCAAAATCAATCAAGATAAAAATTTCATTTTTATCTTTATTTTCCATTGAAAGCAAACTTAACCAAGGTAAAGATCTCCATGCTGAAAACTACACAATGTTGATGAATGAAACTGAAGAATACAGAAATAAATGGAAAGATGTCCTATTCATGAATTGGAAGAATATTGTTGAAATGTCTATACTTGCAAAGCAAATTACAAACTCAATGCAATCCTTATCGATATTCCAATGTCATTTTTCACTAAAATAGAAAAAAATCCTAAAATTTTAATGAAACTGCAAAAGACCCTAAATAGCCAAAATAACCTTAAGCAAAAAGAACAAAGCCAGAGATATCAAACAACCTGCTCTCAAAATCTCCTAAAAAGCCATAGCAAATAAAGACAGCATGGAACTGGCACAAAAACAATGATCAATAGAACAGGACAGAAAGCAAAGAAATCAACCCAAACATTTATGTTCAACTGATTTTCACAGGTGCCACACAATGGGGAAAGGGCAGTCCATTTAGTAAATGGTGCTGGGAAAACTAGATATTCATATGCAGAAGCAAGAAATTTGACCCTTATCTTACCCCATATACAAAAGTCAACTCAAAATGGGCAGGACAAAAGCTCCACAACATTGGTTTGGGCATGGATTTTTTGGATATGACCCTGACAACACACAAGTAACTAAGGCAAAAATAGACAAATGGGATGGCTCAAACTACAAAGCCTCTGGGCAAGAAAGGAAACAATCAACAGAGTGAAAAGACAACCTATGGACTAGAAGAAAATATTTTCAAACCTCATAAGGGATGATAACATAAATATATAAGAAACTCAAACAACTCAATAGCAAGAGAATAACCTCTCTGAAAAAACTGGCAAAGAAACTGAATAGACATTTCTCCAAAGACATACAAATGGTCAACAGATATTTGTAAAAATACTCAAGCAAAAAGCTTTGTCCATATCTATCGAGATGATTTTTAAAATTTATTCTGTTACTATATTGAATTGTACTGATTTATTAACAATTAATCTACTCTTGCCTTCCATAAACAAAAATAAAAAAATAAAAATCATAGTGTGGTCATGATGTATTCTCCATTTTATATATGTCCAAATAATATGAATCTTATTAGCGATATTTGTTTAGAGATTTACATTTATGATCATGAGAGAGATCTTCCTATGATTTTCCAAATTTGTAATTTCCTTGTTAGGCTTTGGTATCAACTTTTTCCTTACCTGGTAAAATATATTGAGTATAATTCCTTTTTTTCTATTATCAGTGAAAATTTGTGTAAGTTTGGGGTGTAGGTTTGTTGTTTGTGTTTCTTAAGTACGTGTTTGGAAAAAAAAAACACAGAGTTTCCTGAACTGGAGTTTACATTGTAGGGATATACACACACACACACATACACACACACAAATATATACACACACATATATACACTATATATAATGTAAACATTCAGATTTTCTATTTTATTCTTATGTCCATTAAGTAAACTATAGTTTAGAATATTTTGTCCATTTCATCATTTTCTAGTATACTGGCATAGAGCTGCTCACAATGTTATTAGTTTTTGAAAATGGGTGTAGGGTCTGTAGTGCTGCTCCCTATCTCATTTCCATATGGAAATATGTGTCTGTTCTATTTTTTCTTGTTCATTGTGGCTAGGATTTACAAATGTGATTGATGTTTTCAAGTATAATTTTTTGACTTTATTGAGTTTTCCATTAATTTTTTTTTTAATTGAAATGGAGTCTTGCTGTACATCCCAGGTTGGTCTCAGACTCCTAGGCTCAAGCAGTCCTCCTGTGTCAGCCTTGGAGTAGCTGGGATTACAGGAAGGAGCTACAGCACCCGGCTCAAGTTTTGTTCGTCCTCATTAATAGCTCCTCTCCTCACTATGATTCTGTCTTACACCTTCTTTTGGAATAATGTATTATTCTTTTCCTAAATTCTTGATATGATAGCCAAGGTCATTAATTTTTTAGATTTTTCTTTCCTTATTCATTCATGGTCCATAGTTTTCCAATTTCATAGTTTAATATGTAATATTTATATTATCAGTCAATTTAAAACATTTACTTAAACTCTGATTTTCTTATTTAACTCATTGATTATTAAGAAGTCTGTTGCTTTATTTTCAAAATGTGGAGATATTAGTTATCTCTGCAGAATTAGGCAACTCCAAAAGGTTTCCAGAACTTCCCAGTAGTCTTTGTCAGGGTTCCAGGCTGGGGTTCGCTGGTTAGTGTCCTGGGGGCAGCTCCTGTGCTTTGCAGGGTCCCCAAGTCTCCCTCCATGCAGGGTGGGGTCTGGTTCCTTCCTGGGCTAGTGGATGGCCAGCGCAGCGTACACGCTGGGCTCAGCTGGAGGTTCTCTCTCCTGGGACAAAGGAGGTGCAGTTGTCCCCCGTCTGGGGGTCCAGCTGTGCAGCTGGGCGTAGGTCACATCCTGGGGGTCTTCAGATGTGGCAGCCTGCAGTGGGGAGAGTGAGAGGGAAGGTACGTGGTTGGGGTGGGAGGAGGCCTGGGGTCCTGGGGAGGAAAGGACCTGCCTGACTGTCCTTCTGCCTGTCCCCTTCCTGCTGTCTGTCCCTCATGTCCAGGAATTCCCCAGAAGGTGGGGAAGGGGGGAGGCCACTCCCCACCTGAGTCTGGAGTGGTTCACCTGGGCATGTGTCACTCCCTGGGGGTCTTTGGGGGTCTTTGTCATGTAGGCTCTGCTGGAGAGAGACAGTGACAGGGTCTCCTTGCTTCCACTCGACCTCCTGCAGTTGCTTTTTCATACTCTTGTAAGGGTGATCCAAGTATGTCACTTTCCTGATGGAATCTCATGGATTTCCTAAGTCCTTGGAGGGCCTGGCTGCTTCCTCCCTGCAGTGCCAACCTCTTGTCCTCACACTCTGGCCCTTGCTCCTTTGGCCCCAGCCACAGGCCCCTATACTGACAGAGCAGGCTGCTGCCTCAGGGCCTTTGCACTGGCGGTTTCCTCCGCTGCAGCTGCTCGTCCACTAGACGTCGCTACGGTCCTCTGCACTCAGGCTTCTCCTCAGAGGACACCTGATCACACGCCCTCCCCACACCTCAGACCGGCCCCCTGCCCCACGCACTCTGTCCAGCAACGCAGTATGTTCCCTAACGGCCCTTCGCACCCCTGGCCACTGCATCTACGTGCACATCATCTCTCGCCCCCAGGTGAGCAAGGAGGCTGGGGCAGCTTCGCTCCCTGCTGCGTCTGCAGCTGATTCCTGCAGCCGGGCGAGAATGAGCCCCGTGAACACTGTCGGGTGAGTGAATGAAGGGCGCCCGGGGACCTGGGTGCTGCATGGATTCATGCAGCCGCTGAGGCCTGGGGAGCATCTGACACCCAGACGGTCAGACGGAGGACGAGGAGCTAGAAAGGGGCCCACGGGGTGGCAGAAAGCCGGGGGAGTGAGGTCGCACAGGCAGGAGGAAGGTCCACTGTGGGCCGACGCTGAGAGCGAGTGAAGGGGGGGGAGGTGTCCGCTGGGCTCAATGTGGCAACAGGAGCCTTGGTGCCCTGGACAGGGGCAGGGGTCTCACCCGGCTGTCCAGCTCCACCTCCTCCCCAGGCTGTGTGTCCTTCACGGCAGCATCTGATGGGGCAGAACGAGGGGCTCGTCCCCTGGCAGGACCCCCGGGACCCCTCAGTCGCACCAGCCCCCGCTCTGGGCCCAGATGGGGCCACGGGATCCAGGGAGTGGCTGTGGTGTCCCCGAGGCCCCCGGTGTGGGGTTCAGACCGTCCCCCCTGAGCCCCAGACCCTTCCCAGCCTGCCCCTCCCCCACTGCCGCTGACCCTTCCCGCCCGTCTCCCCCAGGGCCCCCTCCTCTCACAGAGGTTTTCTTCCTGGTCGTCGGCAGCGGGGCTGGACCTGGGGAGGACACGGGGGTGAGGGGCGGTGAGGGGGCCGCGGGCGGGTGCAGTCCGGGGTCTTCGGGCAGAATTACCTCTTGCGCAGGCCTCTGTCCTTGCGCTCTGGCTCCGCGGCCCCCGCAGGACGTGGGAGGTCAGCCTGCCTCTGGGCTGGGAGCAGATGGACAGAGTCTCAGCCCGGGCAGGTCACAGCCCGCCCCGCTCACGCACCTAGAGAGGAAGGGCCTGGAGACGTCGCACGGACGCGCACGCGCACAGACTGAGCCACTCAGCGCACACTGACACTGCGCACGCGCGCAGGCTGAGCCACTCAACGCACACTGACACTGGGCACGCGCGCAGGCTGAGCCACTCTGCGCACACTGACACTGCGCACGCGCGCACAGGCTGAACCACTCAGCGCACACTGACACTGCGCACGCGCGCAGGCTGAGCCACTCTGCGCACACTGACACTGCGCACGCGCGCACAGGCTGAACCACTCAGCGCACACTGACACTGCGCACGCGCACAGGCTAAGCCACTCGGTGCGCACTGACACTGCGCACGCGCTGACACTGCGGTGGCTCCCCGCGACTGACTGGAAACCGCGGGAGCAGGTTTTCTAAGTGGACTTTCCCGCCTGTTTGCTCCGCCCTGGCTGGTGCCTGAGCCCGCCCTCGGGCGCCCCTGCGTCCCCCACGCCCCACTCACCCGACGACCTGTGTTTGCCCCGATGCCGGTGTCGGAGGAGGAGGAGGAAGAGGAGCAAGGAGAGCAGCAGGACGAAGGCCACCGACACCGCGATCAGAACCTCCAGGAACCTTCCCTGACCTTGGGAACAAGCGACATCAGGAGTGAGGAATGACGTCATCAACTGAGCACCCACTGTGTGCAGGCACATGCTGGGTCTCTGCATCCGTCACCTCCAGCCCTCACCAGCCGTGCACCCTGGGATCGCCCCCACCCCCACCCATTTCACACAGGAGGAAACTGAGGCCCAGAGAGGGGAATCGCCTGCCCCAGGGTGCCCAGCCAGGAGGCAGCAGAGCTGAGAAGTGACCCAGGGAGATGACGTGTAGCCCTGTTCCCTCCACCAGACCTGAGCCCCGAGGTGGAGGGACAGAGCCTGCAGCCCCGCACCGCGGCCCGGGTCCCCTCCCTGCACAGCGTGGCCACTGTGGCAGCCGGTGGGACAGGCCACAAGCAGGCCCGGGAGGCTTCCCTGGGAGGTCTCCTGTCCCAGGAGGCCACAGCAGAAGCCAGAACTGGAGGGAGCCAGACCTCTCCCCTTTAAACTTAGAGAAAACTGAGGCCCAGACAGGGAAGGGCTTGTCCACGCCCTGTGTCAAGAGGAGCCTGAACCAACAGCTTAACTCGGCCCCTGCCTCCCCTGGACCCCCCCACCTCCCCACACAGAGCCCCTCACTCACCACTCTGGGGCCAGACCCCGTGGGGGAGGGGCTGATCCTCAGGCCTCCTGGTCAGGGCAGGAGCTGCCGGGCGGGGCCGTCTGATCCCCACTGCAGCCCGCCCCTCCCCCAGGCTTGGCCCAGCACCTCCCCTACCTGGGCCCCCCACCCCTCACCAGACCAGCCTCAGAGCCCTCCAGGGGCCCTGGCATTTCTGCCTGACTCCCACCCCCTGGATACAGCCCATCCCTGACTATTTGAGGGAATGTGATGATGGGGGACTCAGCACTGCCCTGGGGCAGGCCAAGCTCCTTCTGAGCCAAGAGGCTCCTGGGACTCACCAGGTGTTGTGGGGTGCTCTGTGGCTGGGGGGCTGGGGTGCACCGAGGGTCCTGGGAATGAGCACAGGAAGGGCGTGAGGGGTGCTGCAATTTACAGAGACCCCATCCCCACTCAGACTCTTCTGCATCTGCCCTGTGGCCTCTCAAGACCCTCCTCCACTCACCTGTTGTCTTCCGGATGCAGGTGATGGGAGGGAGTGGACTACGTGGGAGGGCCGCTGTTGGCCTCCTGCCATCGGTGAGGAGAACCCTCTGGCTGAGCCTCTCCCAAATCCTCTTCCCCCCATCCCACCCCAGGGCTCTCCTGGGCAGGGCCCTGAGCTGACCCTTTGAGCTCAGATGGGACAGGGTCGGGTCCTCACCTGAGACAATGAGCTCCAGGGCGTCACTGGGTTGTGACCACACCTGTGGGTTGTTCCTGTAACAGCCATAGCATCTGAATGTCCACCTGTGGCTGGGGGGCACGGGGGCCACAGGGAACAGGGCCTGGGACTGCCCATAGGAAGTTCGCTGTGAGTCCTCAGCCAAGGAGAAATGTTCTCCCTCCTTAGTGAGAATGAACTTGTCAAATTCCACCTGTGAGACACACTGTAGGGTCACTTTTCTGCCTGGGGTCACCACAGGGCTCAGCACGGCCGATAGGGTGGGTTTACTAGCATAGAATCCTAGGAGAGAAGGAGGCAGGCGTGGTCAATGGGGCTCACACCTCCCACATCACCCCCAGGGCTGGGCTGTGACAGGGAGACACCCTGAGAGCAGAACCCTTCCTGAGGGCAGAGCCTGAGGCTGGGAGCCCGAGTGTCCTCTCACCTGTCACCACCAGCTCCAGGGGGTCACTGGGCTCTGACCACCCAGCAGGGCTGTAATAGTAACAGCGATATCGCCCTACATAGTGCTCTGTCATGTGTGGGATGTTGAACTTCGCCTTGTTCCCAGGCTCCAGTGGTGTCTGTCTGTCCCAGGACACTGAGTTTCCTTCTTTATCCAGACGGTACCCCTGGGCCTCCAAGGTCCCCTGACACCAGATGGTCACAGGGCTGCTCCAGGTGATCACAGATGCTGGCTCAGCCCAGAGGGTGGGCTTAGGGAGGGTCCCTGGAAGGAAATCACAGGCTGGTTCCGAAGACGTCCCCACCCCTCAGATCCCAGCTTTCAGCCCGGGATCTCTCAGACATCCCCATCAGTCAGCCCAAAACTGCTGTTCCCCATCCCCAGCTGCCCAGGTGTGTCCCTTGTCTCCACTGAGGAGGGACCTGGGACAGCTGGGTACAGACTCACCTGCCTGCACACAGGTCCTGGTGCCCAGACTCAGCCCTGGAAGAGAGTTCCCTGTGAGAGATTTGTCCCCTGAAGGCTGAGCACGTCCTGTCCTCCCCGGGAGCCTCCTGAGCCCTGGGGTCTCCTGCTAGAGCAGGGCCTGGCTGTGGGGTGGGGTCCCCCCCAGACCAGGTCTCCCTCCCCTCTTCCCATCTCACCGAGGCAGAGCAGGGCCGTGAGGGTGGGGGTCATGGCGTCTCCTCCCATTGGCCCCAGCTGTGCAGATGAGCAGACCACGGTGTCCACAGGACAGACGGACAGACAGGATTTGGCACTTGGAGGCTGGGTCCTCCCTGTCACGGGTTGTTACATCACCAGCCCCACAGGAAGGGGAAGTTTCTCAGAGCCTAGCTCTGGTTTCCCTAGGGCTAGGGTGTGCACTAGACTCCCTAAACACATTTCAGACAGAAATGGGGTCTCCCCTGATCCTTGGCTGCTGCCTTCCTGGTCTTAATTCCTTTCTGACCAAGTGTCAACACATTATTGAGTTTTGCCATGTGCCTGACCATGGTAATGTATCAGTGACCAAATTTGATGAAAGACTGAGTTTACAGAACTCAGATTATCATAAAGGAGATACCCAGTGTGGCAGCTCTGTATTGCTGCTCTAAGAAATTTCTACAAGCTTAGATTCTTAAGACAACACAGATTTGTTATCTTACAGTTCTGGCTGTCGGAAGTCCACAGTGCATCTCCCTGGGCTGCCATCAGTTGTCATCAGGGCTGTGTTCCTTCTGGAGGCTCCAGGGAGAATCTGCTGTCTTACCTCCTCAGCTGTCTGCAGGCTGCCTGCACTCCCTCACTCTCATCCCCTTCCATCCTCAAGTCCAGCAGTGATGTTATTCCAGCCCCTGCTTCCATCTTCTCTTCTCTGATGTCACCCTCCTGCCTCCCTCTTTCACGTATAAGGCCCCCTTGGGATCACATTGGGCCTACCTGGATAATACAAGATGATCTCCCTGCTGCAAGATCATTAACTTAATCACACCCACAAAGTCTCTTTTTCCATGTAAGGTATTGTATTCCAGGTTCTGAGGGCCAGGATGTGAACACCTTTGGGAGGTCATTACTCTGCCTGCCACATGCCTTCACAAACTCCTTTAGCCAAATCTTGTATAAACCACTTCTGTTTGATGATGAAGAGCAGCTGGGCATGGCCAATTGCAAGATTGGGTGGTCAGTCTATACCCAATTCCTGACGGCAGCTCACGTCACATAGTGATCTGCCCACTCAAGGCCAAGTGCTCAGTCTCTACTGCAGCCCAGTAGCAAGCTAGAAGCTGTGTCACAATTTGAGAATAATCTCTGCAGAAATGGCTCAGCGTGGCTTCAGA